GTGAATCGACCTCCGAGATTTTTCGCTGCTTCAGCCAAGTCAGTCGGCTCTTTCTCAACGACTTCGACGATTTTCGGTTGTACTTCGTCAGATCGGCCGCTGTGATAGACTTGGACTTGGTGGGTGAGAGCTTCACCTTCCAGCTCGTTGGCGCGGTTGGTGTCTTGCAGAGGTCCTTCGTAGAATTCGGATGTTGGATAGTCGAGATGAGCTGGGCTTCTCTTGAAGAGACTCGTGAATCGACCTCCGAGATTTTTCGCTGCTTCAGCCAAGTCAGTCGGCTCTTTCTCAACGACTTCGACGATTTTCGGTTGTACTTCGTCAGATCGGCCGCTGTGATAGACTTGGACTTGGTGTGTGAGAGCTTCACCTTCCAACTCGTTGGCGCGGTTGGTGTCTTGCAGAGGTCCTTCGTAGATTTCCGAAACCGGATAGTCGAGATGAGCTGGGCTTCTCTTGAAGAGACTCGTGAATCGACCTCCGAGATTTTTCGCTGCTTCAGCCAAGTCAGTCGGCTCTTTCTCAACGACTTCGACGATTTTCGGTTTTACTTCGTCAGATCGACCGCTGTGGTAGACTTGGACTTGGTGGGTAAGAGCTTCACCTTCCAACTCGTTGGCGCGGTTGGTGTCTTGCAGAGGTCCTTCGTAGATTTCCGAAACCGGATAGTCGAGATGAGCTGGGCTTCTCTTGAAGAGACTTGTGAATCGACCTCCGAGATTTTTCGCTGCTTCAGCCAAGTCAGTCGGCTCTTTCTCAACGACTTCGACGATTTTCGGTTGTACTTCGTCAGATCGGCCGCTGTGATAGACTTGGACTTGGTGGGTGAGAGCTTCACCTTCCAGCTCGTTGGCGCGGTTGGTGTCTTGCAGAGGTCCTTCGTAGAATTCGGATGTTGGATAGTCGAGATGAGCTGGGCTTCTCTTGAAGAGACTTGTGAATCGACCTCCGAGATTTTTCGCTGCTTCAGCCAAGTCAGTCGGCTCTTTCTCAACGACTTCGACGATTTTCGGTTGTACTTCGTCAGATCGGCCGCTGTGATAGACTTTGACTTGGTGTGTGA